GTCCACACCGTAGATTTAGAATGGCATCTTTTTGCACACGGAAAAGTCAAATCACACAAGAGGGCGTTTGGCGGAAAGTCACTCACCCTGCCCGCGGCCGAGTTCCCCTCTTCAGAGGCAGCTAGTGCTATCAAGTCGCTTATGTATCTTTCCAGAAGTGAACAGTGTCTTCGTGGAAATGCACACCGGATTTTATGCATTTTTATTGTGATAAAATGTGCATCACAGAAAATTTACCATTTTAACTTTTTAATTTTTTTTTTTGCAGTGCTGGGGTTCAAACTTAGGGCCTCCCCTGCCAAGTCTGGGTCCACCACCGGCCTGCCACCACATCCTAAATTCTAAGCAGTTTTAAGTGTGTGGTTGGGCAGCCTTACCTCCAGCCACGGGGCGGCCTCGCACCCCCCGTCTCTAGAAGTCCTCATCTTCCCAAACGGAAGCTCTAACTCGCTGCTCCCCGCCTCCCCGCCCTGGCAGCCTCCCTGTGCTCTCTGTCTCCAGGGGAGTTTGACTCCTCCAGGCCCCTCCTGGAAGTGCAGTCACCCCACATCGGTCCTTTTGTCCTGGGTTGACTTTGCCTAGCAGTGTCCTCAGGTCCCTCTGGGTGTCGGACGCTCCTTCCCGTTAAAGACCCAATAACGTCCATCCCCCGCCCGGCCTGCCTGTCTGTTGCTCGGTTCATGGACATTTGGGGTGTTTCTTCCTCTATGTATTTTATTGTTTGCTTGTTTATGAGATGGGGGTCTCCCTCTGCTGCCCAGATGGCCTCGACTCCTGGGCTCAAGCCATCCTCCTGCCTTGGCCTCCTGAGTAGCTGGGACCACAGCAGGTGCCACTGTACAGAGACCTGGCTTTGTTTTTGTTTTATTTTATTTTTTTTTAATAAACGAAAGTTAGTTCAAACAGGAGGAGAAGGAAGGCTGGGGCAGAGGATTGGGTCTGGGAGACAGGCACACACCGCAGCAGCATGGGGTGAGGCAGTGTCACTTCCTAGGAGGAGAGAAAACACCCGGTCATCAGTGCCTCCAGCTGTGCCCCAGTGGTTCCCCGCCTGCAGCCCGAGAGGAACCAGCTCCCCTTGTATTTTAGAAGACCAGCCCGTCCCTGGGCCTGTCTGGGCGCCCACCCCTTCTTCAGCCTAGGGAGCCCAAGGGTGCCGGGGAGCAGAGGCCACAGGCCCACAGGGAAGGGGCTGGGGCTGGGGCGCTGCTGACAGCCCGGAGGGACCTGGGGCCCGGCCGAGTCCCTGGGGACCCAGGTGCTCTCCAGGAGGTCCCTCAGCCCACCCATGCAGGGCCTCAGCCCTGGCAGGGCCCCTGTAAGAAAACCCCAACTTCAGAGGAAAAACCAGCACCAATGCTATCACTCCATCCTCCAGTGACAGCTCTGTGCTCACAGGATGGCTCCGCTTCAAATATTTCTTGGCTGAAGCAGGAGTTTGACAGCAGCCTGGGCAGCATAGCAGGTTTCTTCACGATATCTGAAATGTCCAGGAAGAACTGTAAGTAGTTCAACCATCCCCAGGACATTTGCCACCGAGCTGTACCCTTGTCACCCTGGTGCATTTTGCCATTTTTGCTTTGTCTCACCTTTCTCTCGCTGGGAAACACACACCCTTATGCACACAGCTAAGCACACACATACCTCTACACACACACACACACGCACATGCTACATAGATATCAGTGTATCTCTGTGTGTGTGCATTTGACAAAACCAAGTGCATACACATGCATATTTGTATACCCCTACACCCCCATCTGCATACACACTGCACACACGCATTTTCCCCTGAACTTTTTGAAATTAAGGACATCATGACCTTCATCTCCAGATACTTCATTCAAGACCTATCTCCTAAGAATGGGACCTTTCTCCTGCAACCCACGAAGTCTTCATGCACCCAGGGAGATCAACAACAAACCCTACTGTCACCCCACACCCAGTCTATATTCAGGTTTCCCCAGATGTTCTCTAAAGGTCTCTTATAGCTGTTTTTCAAAACTAGAAGTCCTGCCGGGTGCGGTGGTGCACACCTATAATCCCAGTGGCTCGGGAGGCTGAGGCAGGAGGATCTCAAGTTCAAAGCCACAGCAACGTAGCAAGGCTGTGAGCCACTTGGTGAGACCCTGTCTCTAAATAAAATACGAAAAAGGCTGGGCATGTGGCTCAGTGGTTCAGCGCCCCTGGGTTCAATCCCTGGTACCAAAAAACAAAACAAAAAAACCCTAGAATTCAACCCAGGTCCACATACTGCATTTGGCTGCTATGTCCCTTTCTCCCTAGAGACTGACACTAAATGTCCTGGCCACTTAACATTGTTTTTTAAATGGCATTATCTTCTTGCTGGCCCTGGGAAGTGGCCCTGCAGAGGTCTGAAGGCCCCTCTGTCTGATTGCTTCCTTATTGGGTCATTTATCTTCTTCTACTTCCTGTATTCCTTTTTGAAACTGGAAGTTAGTCCTGAGAGCATATATATATATATATATATATATATATATATTTTTTTTTTTTTTTTAACTGAACATTAGTCCCAGCAGCTTGTCTGGATTTGGAGGGACACTTTATTGGTAAAAAACACAAAACATACGCTCACCATCACAACTGTGCAACGCAGTGACATGAAGTATGCTCTCACAGTTGGCAGCCATCACCACAATCTGTCTCCAGAACTTTGCATCTTGCAAAACTGAGACTCCGTCCCATCAGACACTAACTCCCAGTGCCCCTCCATGTTCCCGCCACAGGCCCTGGCAACCACCCTCCCACCTTCTGGATTTATGGATGTGACTACTCTAGGGACTTGACCGCCATGGAATCAGACATTGTCCTTTTATGACTAGGCTGGTGTAGTGCCCTTGGCCAAGAGCCCCCCAAGGCACAGCTGTGCCCGTTGTGTTGAGTCCTTTCAGGAGGTTCATGGGCCATCTGCCTGACCTGCCTGTCAGCCTCTCCCCTCTGGCCACCCTGCTGGGCCAGCACTCTCCCCAGCCCTTACCCCCACGCCCACCCCGACCCGACCACCACAGGGCCTTTGCACTTGTGTTTTCTCCCTGGAAGGCTCCACCCTGTTTTCTGGGTCTTGGCTGGAACCTGGAACGTCACTCCCTCCTGAGGCCTTCCCTGTCCACAGCTGCTGCCCATAGCTGCTCCCCCTGGTCTGCATGTTCTCCCCTTTCCTGTTGTCTTTGTGGCATTCATCACAGGGACATGCCCTTGCCTGGTATTATTTGCCTGTTGTCTGTCTCAGAGGCAAACACCACATAGGCAGGGAACTCTGCTTTCCCCAACTCTTGGCAGCACACCGGGCACATAGTAGGTGCTTGTGTTAGTTCCTCCTCGCTGCTTTAACAAATCACCACAAACCACACGAGTGTATAACGGTGCGGCTCAGGAAGCTGACGTCTTAACTCTGTCGCATTGGACTACTCAAGGCGTGGCCAGGGCCGTGCTCCCTGGTGGCTCTGGGTACCCTCCAGTTCCTCACCCTCTCCAGCTCCTCCAGGTCCCTGCTTGCCTGGCTCCACAGTCCTACACCGTTTGGTCCCTGCCCTGTCACCCTGTGTCCTCTTCTGACTCTGACCACTGCCCTCTCTTGAGATGACCCTGGGATTACCTGGTCACTTGAATGACCCAGGACATCTCCCTATTTTAAGGTCTTCAGCTTAACCATATCTGCAAAGTCCTTTTCAGCACGTAAGGTGACACATTCACAGATCGAGGGTTTAGGATGTGGCTCTTTTTAGGGGGCCATTGCTCCACCCAGGGTTCAATGACCACTTGTGAAATGAAGGAATGAGCAAGTCGGGGATGGGTCCCCGGCCCACGGGATCCTGAGTCGAGGTGCAGGCCTGGCTCAGGCGCTGTGAGGCTGGCTCATTTTGGACAAGTCCTCTCTTGCTCCGAGTCTCAATTTCTGAGCTCCACTTGAGCCTGGTCCTTGGAGGGGACTGGGGACAGGAAGAAAGGGGACACCAGCCCTCAGAGCACTTGGGGTTTGGCTTCGGAGGAACCCGAGAAAGATAGAACCTGGCCCAGTGGGCTGGGGTCACTGGGACAGTGGAATGCCCTGAGGGGGTGGCTCACCAAGGAGGTGACATCTTCATCCGCTCCTGACGCATGATTTGGAGTCTGTGCGGTGGAGGAGTGGAAAGCGGAATCGCGCTGGGGCAGGCTGCAGACCTCTTTGAGGAACTGTGAGGAGTGTGGTGTGACCCGCAGGGCGGGAGGCCACGGGGGCAGGTCAGGAAAGGAGCCTGGGTGACCACGGCCAGGGGCCTGGCCCTGCTCAAGTCCACGGGGAGCACAGCAGGGTTTGAAGCAGGGAGAGAGGTGTCAAGCTGCGTCTGGGTCACGCACTGTGGCAGCTGCCGTGTGGGGAAGGGATGGAGGGGACGGTGTCCAAGACTGAGGTGGAGGTGACCTCAGTGGGGCAGGGGCAGTGGGGACAGAGATCGGGGGAGGTTGAGGAAGTAGAACCAGCAAGGTGGGGGTGTGGAAATTCCTTAAAGACTCATGAGTGGCCCACAAGCTCTAGGTGGCCCAGGTGGGGACTTAGTGAGAAGCCCCAGAAGGCTAGGAAGGGGCAGAGACCAACCCCAGGGGCTCATGGGCCACTCCCCTCCAAGAGAAGTGGGTGACGTGGGTCAAGCCGGAGACGGGCCTCAGCTCCGGGAGAGGGCTTGTCACATCACCCGCTGAGGGACACAGGTCATGGAAGCACCTCCCCACCCCCTCCTGGGAGACCAGCCCCCCAGACCTGCAGGGACAAGGCCCCTCGGCAAGCAGACCCCGGGAAGGAGGGGCCCGGAGGCCTGGCTCAAGGGGGATTTTGTAAATCTCTGGAGGCCCGGAGTTGGACGGGGTGGGGGTCCCCCCTGAGTGGTTCCCCGCCACAGAATCTCCTTGGGAGGAAGTGAGGACTTCTCCTTTCAAGATCTGAATGTCAGAGGCTCTGGGCTCACGGGTGACTAAGAGGTGTCTGAGCCTGGTGGGTGGAGGGATGGCTTAAATACCAGGTCCTCCTGTCCCCTGGTGACTGCAGACGCCTGAGCCGGCACTCACAGCACAGAGCATGGCCAGCCTGCAGGCCCCCCTCCTGGTGGCCCTCATCCTCCTCTCTGTGGCTCTTCAGGCAACGGATGCAGGTGAGACTGGGGAGCAGGAGGGTTCCCCACAGAGGCCAGCACAGGCCCCGCTCCTGGAGAGGGCACTGCGCTGAGGGCAGAAGAGCCCAGCCCGCTGTTGGTCCTCTGGCTTTGGGTTGGTCGCAGGGCTCTCCTGGGCCTCAGTTTACACAGCTGTTAAATGGGTAATCTAAAGGCTTGGCATCTAGCGCTGTCTCCGCTAGGTTGGGGGGTTGTGGTGGACAAGACCCAGGGATCCCCCGTCTCTGGAACACAGGGCCCTTGGGGTGTGGATGCAGAGCCCCCGAGGGCCTGACCTGAGTAGGAAAGGCAGAGCAGGGAGAGCTTGGAAAGTGGGTCCTGTTCCCACACCCCAGTTTCTCTGGCACCTGCCCTCAATATGGGGGTCCAGGCTTCCTTCACCACACATGGGCTCCCTGCTCTGGGTCAGGTAGAGTCAGACAGCCACCAGGTCACTGCTCACAGTGTTGAGTGTCCTCAGAGCTTCCCCAGCACAGAAGGCCCATGAAGTGGGGACCATTACCACTCCCTTGGTCAGAGGAGGGACTTGGGCCTCAGGGATGTTCAATGGGGACCTGGCAACTCAGAGCAGAGTGGGACTGAAGCCCGGGCTGTGTGACTGTCCCCCATGTGAGCCTTGCCTCTAACTCTGCCACGGTCGCATGTGACCTCAGATAAGTGAGTCCCCCTCTCTGGACCCTCGCCTTGCCAGGGCACAGTGTGGGGACTCGAATAGACAAGTGGGAGTGGACTCCCCAGATGCTAGGCTGAGTGCATGTGGGGTTGCTGGTCCGGGGCGGGGAGAGCATCCCGAGGAGCTCCCAGGCCTCACCCTGAGTAGCAAGTCCCAGGATCCTTCTGGCTCAGAGTGGCTGAGACCCACCGGGAAGCTCTCATCCCATCCCCTGAGCTACCCACTCCAGAGTGTAGTCCGGGGCCCTCATGGCTCCTCAGAGGCTAGGGTTTTTGAAGGCCTAGAATCTCCTGGACACCATCCTTCCACGTGAGCGCAGAATCTCTTCCCTGGAGGGGCCTGGGCCGGGGGCTGGGGCCCAGGGTGACCTCTCTGTGCTCCACCTTGCTCACCCCTGGGCGTCCCTCTCCCAGGTCCCTATGGCGCCAACGTGGAAGACAGCATCTGCTGCCGGGACTACATCCGCCTCCCGCTGCCCCAGCGTCTAGTGAAGAGTTTCTACTGGACCTCAGACTCCTGCCGCAGGCCCGGTGTCGTGTGAGTAGGGAGCCGGGCCACAGGGGATAGCCCGGGTGGCCCAGATGTAAGTGGGGGGGGGCGGACTCGGGGCTGCAGGAATGCAGCCGGGCCTCTGGATGCCAGTTGGAAGAGTTGGCTGGAAGAGACGGCTCACCCCAGGTTGGCGTGTTCCAAAAACAAAAATAATGTGATCGTTCAACAGATATTATAGGACATTGTGCTATGCATGCCAGGGTCTGAGGATGCACAGGGTGCCGCCTGGGCATGGGCACGGCAGCGTGGGCAGTAGGCGGCTACCGGCTGATAGCTCTAGGGAACAGTCCTGGGCACAGGTGGCCTGACGGCTTGGAGCCACTCCCATCAGAAACATCCCGGTCCTCCCCAGTCCCCTGGGAGCTATTTGAGGACGCCCATTTTGATCAGAACAACAACATTAAGAGCTAGCACTTGTTAAGAGCTTCCGGTGCCCGGCCTTCCTGAGCTGGCCCATGTCAACTCCCTCTGTCCTCACAGCGTTCATTCCAGAAGCTTCCACTGCTCCCATTTTCCGGATGGAGAGGCAGGCTCGGAGAGGGAAGGCCCAGCTCCAGTGTGCTAGGACCCCAGGGGCCTTGTGCTGCCTTTCTCCTGAGAGTCCTGGTCTCTGCTCTTGGCTGCCTTTCCCTGGGCCCCCACCTGTTTTAGTGGTAGCCCCCCTGACCGCTTCCCGCTCCCCAGGTCTGTGGCCTCCACGTCTCACATGCGGTCGAGCTGGGCTGGGGGCTCAGGACCCCCTTGGGGCTCCATCACCAGCCCCCACTCATCTTTCTCCTCCCCACTGCTGACTCCAGCTCTCAGAGGGGTCGCAGGTGGGGACAATGAAGGCCGGAGCAGGAAGCCGTCCCAGGGTTTCACATTCCCCTTCCGAGCCTTGGTTGCCTGTCAGTACAGGGGAAGGAATAACCTGTGTCCATCGAACCCATATGGACTCATGTATCCTGGAACCCACCCGGTGCCACGGGCACTCCCTCCCTTTCCGTGGGTGAGGAGATGGCACCAAGGAGCTAAGTGGCCCCTTGAGCATCACAGGGCACAGTGACAGCCTGTGGGAGGTGTAAAGCTCATTGCCCGGCATGTAGTAGGTGCTCAGTAAAAGACGGCACACATGTGATCCTTGGGTTCTGAGCCAGCTGGGGCTCTAGAGAGAATTGGCTTGACAAATGGGGAGATGGAGGCTCAGGGAGGAGCCGGGTCTTGCTCACGGACCACAGTGGCTGGGCAGGCCGCCCATGGGGCCCGGGTGGGCATTGTTGCCTTCTTTAGTCTTTCTCCATTCAGTTGTCTGTGCAGCGGGGCAGGCCAGGGGGTGAGGGGACCAAGAGCTCCTGGGCCCGGAGAACAGGGTCTTGAGAGGCAGGAAGGGAATCCTGGGCAGGGGCATGGCTCCCACCACTAGCCAGCCGTGAGCCCACCCCTGCGGATACCTGCTCCAGGGCCAGGGCCGCGTGTTTGCTGCAGTGGGGAGGCAAGAGCCGAAGTCGCAGCTTACTGTGTGACCTGGGCCAGAGCCCACCTCTCCTCCCCGAGCCTCCGGCCTCTCAGAGGGCCAGGGGAGTCCCAGCTTCACGATCGTGGTGCAGCCACTTGCTTTACCTCCGTAGACCTCAGTTTTTTGTTCCTTTCTTTTCTTTTTTTTTATGGTACAGAGGATTGAACCCAAGGGTGCTTAACCACTGAGCCACGTCCCCAGCCTTTTAAATTTTTTTATTTTGAGGCAGGGTCTCACTAAGTTTCTTAGGGCCTTGCTAAGGAGCTAAGGCTGGCCTCAAACCTGTGATCTTCCTGCCTCAGCCTCCCAAGTCACTGGGATTTTAGGCATGTGCCACTATGTCCAGTGACCTCAGTTTCTTCAGTTTCTGTAAAATGGGTCGAATAATAGGACCTCAATGGGTTATTGTGAGAATTAAGAAAATCCGTGTAGCCGGGCACCATGATTCACAAATGTAATCCCCCAGTGGCTCGGGAGGTTGAGACAGGAGGATCATGAATTCAAAGACACAGCCTCAGTGAACAATGAGGCACTAGCAACTCAGGGAGACCCTGTCTCTAATTAAAATACAAAATAGGGCTGGGGATGTGGCCTAGTGGCCGAGTGCCCCTGAGTTCAATCCCTGGTACCCCGCCCCTTGCCCAAAACAAAGAAAATCAGTGTAAAAAAATCATGCCAGCTCCTGGTGTAACTATATAGCACCTACTATGTGCTGCAGCACTTCAGTGTGTAATTTTTTGAGTACTTGAGTTTGCATTAACTCATCAAATTTTCATCAACTTTACACTATGATTATCATCCCCATCTTACACCTGTGGAAACTGAGGCTCAGAGAAGTTAAGCGACTTGCTAACAAGTGGCCAGGTTAGAGCTGAACTCAGAGAGGCTGGCTCCAAAGTCCACCACCCAACCCTCTGGGGCTCTGGGGGGTGGAGCATGGCCTGACCAGGCAGTCGAGGCTGGGGACCGAGGGGCGGAGGATCCCGAAAGCCCTTCCTGCTCCCTTCTCTTCTTCTGCTTGAGAAATGAGGTTTGCATACAGTAGGTGGGCCATAAATGCTAAGGTCCTGGGGTGTGTGCTGGATGCTAATGCTGCCACCGTCTCCCTGGCATCTCCTCCCTCCAGCTTGCAAACCATCAGGGACCGGGAGATCTGTGCCAACCCCAAACTGCCCTGGGTGAAAAGGATTATTCAGAAGTTACAAGAGTGAGAAGGTCCCGGATGACCACGGCCTTGGCTTTCCGAAGGCTCGGCGAGCCCTCCCTCTCCGCCATCATGGCAGCTGCCAAACAGAAGCCTGTGCCAGCGACTCCGCATTCCCCGAGCTCCGTCCCGACAGCTGTCCCCTCAGCCAGGCCTCCTGGCCACCTCTCCTCCCCTGGGGCAGTCTCTGCCCTGGCTCCTCCTGGCTTCCGAGCTCCTGGACCTGCTCCCAGCCTCCAGGTCTGCTGGTCCCCTCCGGCCTTGTCCCCTCCCCTCCTGCACACTGAGCTGCAGCCTCCCGCCTCCCGTCCCAGCCCGTCATTTGTACCCCTGGGCAAGTCCCTCTGAGGCCTTGCTTGCCTCGGCAGGCCACGATGGGGTTTCATTCTGTGACTTTCCTGGTCCCCAACAGACTCAACCTCAGTCTGCTCGGGATCTGGGGCTGCCTGCTGTCCGGCCCTCCTGGTTAGGCCACGGTCCCCATCTGTGTTACTCTGTCTGCTGGTCTCCAGGCCCTGGGCCTGAATCCAAGAGTAGCAAGGGGCCCTGGGCTGAATCAACAATAATGTCCCCCCATCTTTCACCAAAAGGATGTAATCCTTCAACACAGACTCAGGTCACTAGAAAGGGGACAGCTGTGTCAATTGTGAATTCCCAAATTTGCCCAAATTCATCCCCCCCGTGCCAAATTTTTGCTATCTACTGGGTCTTTTTTTTTTTAAAAAAAAAGTCTTAGTTTTGATTTTAATTTCTTTTTTCTCTTTTTGGCTCTGGGGATTGAACTAGGCAAGCGCTCTGCCGCTGAGGTGCCTGCCCGGTGCGGCTTGGGCTTCTTGCTCTTTTTCTTCCCTCAGACTTGGTGGCCCTCTGACATCCAGCACTCAGGCCCGAGCTCCACCCCACGCCACCTCCCGCCTCCTTCCCTAAATAGCTGATAACCTCAACGACTGCCTGACTTGGTATTATAAGCTCCAGTTATTTATATGTGAAAAGAATGTAACTACTTAAGAGGAAATGAAAGAATAGGGGGATTTCAGGAATTGGGTGGGAGGGGACAAGGTCCTGGCCTGCGAGGCGGCTGGCATGGTGGGGCAGCTGTGGGGGGGTTTACAGTGACGTGAAGGAGTCCGTCTGCAGGTGGTTGGGGTCAGGCTAAGAACTGGGACTCGGGACTTACCTGTGCCTCCCTGGGGACAGCAGTGTCACAGGTGGTGGGAGTCCTTTCTGAGGAACTCAGTGGGTGATTGGAACTGTGTGACCCCTGAGGAGATGGGTGCCCCACTCTAGGCCTCACCTGAGGAGGGAGGAGGAGAAGAGCCGCCTCAGGGGGCTGTGAAGGGCTCAGGGTCAGTGTGTAGGGAGGGACGGATTGCCAGCTGCGTTGCTGCGTCTCTCGGGGCCTCTGTCCTTCCGGGAGCCCCCGTTATCCGCCTGCCACAGGCCCTGCTCACCTGCCTGCTGCCTGTGAGCAGAGCCCTCACCTGCCCTGGGGTCTCCTTCCTTGCTGCCCACCCCCTCTGCTGCTCAGACTTTCTGGAAAATAAATCCTCTTAAATAGTGTTTGCTGTGGCTTTTGGTGTTTTCTGTTCCCGCAAGATGGTGCACGGAGTCCCCCTCTCTCCCACTGGGAAGCCTTGACACTGAGATATGAGAGGACTTGTCAAGGTCCCCAGAGAGGGGATACAGGGCTGAGGGGCAGCCACTCAGGGGCCAACAAGGAGGCCCAGACATTTCCCCAGAGCCCTACCCCCCAGCCCACACTGGGACCCGCTGTTAGGAGGATTTGAAGAGGCCATTTATTTAGTCCCCAAGTCGAGAGACTGAAGCAGCACAGTCATTCAACCACCCAGCCTTAGCCTTCCTGACCGCAAGGGATGCTGGGAAACGGCCAGCTGTGTGTCCAGGAGGAGGAGGAAACGGGTCCGGGGCTCACTGGGTGCTGGACTCCTTGGGGGTCCTCAGCTGTCCATGGTCCTGGCCCTTCCCTGGAGCTCTGGATACAGCTCATCCACTCTGCTGAGACAACAAAGAAGGCCTTCTGCCCTTGGATGCCTTCATTATTTCCCAAGCATAAGCAGCAGTTCTGTGGATGTCTGGCCACAAGTGTCCTTTGTCCCCATATCTGCCTCTCACAATGCAATTTCCAGGGCAGCAGCCCCAGACACCTAGAGCACTTGCCAGAAAGAAGCATCTGGAAAGGCACACATTGTGGATTCTGACAAATATAGGAACTCTCCCTGGCTGGGCAGCTGGAGCAAGGTGCTGTGTCCCTCTGAGCCTCAGTCTGTCTCATCAACAAGGGACAGAAAAGTCTATGTCAGTTCATGTGACAGTCAGAATCCAATGAGACAGGAAGGCAAGGAGAGCCCAGTAACAAAGTGGGGGACTTGAATGGACCTTTCTCCAAAGAAGATACTCAGCAACTCAGTGAGACCCTGTCTCTAAATACAAAATAGGGCTGGGAATGGGGCTCAGTGGTCGACTGCCCCTGAGTTCAATCCCCAGGACCAAAACAAACAAATACATGAAAGATGCTCAATGCCACCAATCATTGGGAAATACAAATCAAACCACAATGACATACCACAGCACACCCATCAGGATGGCTACTATCAAACCAACCAACAAAAAAGCTACTGTGGAGGCTGAGGCAGAAGGGTTGCAAAGTTTGAGACCAGCCTTTCAAAATCACAAAGGGCTGGGGATGTAGCTCAGTGGTCAAGGACTTGCCTATCATGCCTGAGGTCCTAGGCGAACCCCAGCACGGCAAAAACAAATGAAAGACCCAGACAGGAACAAGTGTTGGGGAAGGTGTTGAGAAATTGGCACTCTTTCATACTGGTGGTGGGAAATAGAAAATGTTGCAGCTGCAGTTCTTTAAAAAAATTAAATAGAATTATATGATCCAGCAATTGCACTTCTGGGTAGGTCTACAAAAAAAAAGAAAAGAAAAGAAAAGAAGAAAGAAAAAGAGAGCAGAGTGTCAAAGAGATATGTGAACATTCAGTTCATTTGCAGCACCCTTGGTAATAGTCCAAAAGTGTAAATAGCCAAGTGTCCATCAGCACATGAGCCAATAAACACAGGATGTATCCATCCCATGGAATACCACTCGACCCCCAAAGGAGAGAAGTCTGATACATGTGACATCTGGATGAACCTGGAGGACATTACATTAAGTGAAATAAGCCAGTCACAAAATGACACGCGTTGTTTCTTTTGAAGGGGGTTCTTAGAGTAGTCAAGATCCCAGAGGCAGGAGGTAGAACGGTGGCAACCTGGGACAGAGGTGAGTAGGGGGGAGGTGAGCGTGGGAGTCGGTGTTTAGTACGTTAGAGTCTCAGTTTGTAAAGGTGAAAAACGTCTGAAGGTGACATGTGGAGGTAGTAGTGCAACAGTGTGAAGCCACTCGCTGCCACCAAAGGGCACACTTACAATGGTTAGGATGGTTTGGATGCGCTCTTCTCAGCCCCTGGAGATGGTGGGCGGGGCCCCAGCCTTCTTTCTCCTTGGGCCCTGCAGGGGTCCCTGCAGGACCCGGGGCTCCCCACCCTCCTTTCCACAGTCTGCTTCGGAGCTGGGGATCCCCCTCCTGTGTCACAGTCACAGCACCAACACTCTGGGGCACTCAGATGGGGTCCCAACCACCTGCAGCCTGGCGATGTGTGTGCGCAGGGACAAATCCACCCCCAACACCCCTGGCCCCTCCAGAAGAAGCCCCCTGCGGCAGCCTGGGGACGTCCACCTGCCCAGTTGTTACCCTGGTTACCCTCAGCTGGAAGCCTTCCCAGCCCCCTTTCTCTCAGCTCCAAGACCCTCCGCAGTCTGGGGCAGCCGCGGGCCCCCCACAACTCCCTTCTGGGAGCCAGTGGCGTCCGATTACTCCCGGGCCCCCAATGGGTCCACCTCGGTTAGGATTTTCTCTCTGTCAAGATCCTGCCTCTGTGCGCACCGCACTCCAGGCCCCAGCTCGCTTGCAACTCGCAGAGGAATCCTCCTCCCGCACCCGGCCCCAGCCACCCCTCAACCTCGGGGAGCCCCAGAACAGCGGCGCCACCTGCTCGCGGGCGCCCCCTGGGGGCACCACGCGGAGTGCGCCGCATTACTCCGGATAGATTGTTGGCGAGACCACGTCTCCGGTGCCTGATCAGCCTGCAGATCTAACTTCTAGTTTACAGGAAATGCATAGGATAAAGGAACACATTAGATGACTCACGGGAAATACCGAGATGAATTAAGAATGAGAACATTTTTTAGAAAAGTGGTCTTAACTCTTCAAAAGGTCAACACCTATAATCCCAGTGGCTCTGGAGGCTGAGGCAGGAGGATCGCAAGTTCAAACGATCCTAAAGGATCTTTAGGGAGGCCCTAAGGAATTTAGTGAGACCCTGTCTCAAAATATAAAAAGGGCTGGGATGCGGCTCAGTTGTTGAGCGCCCCTGGATTCAATCCCCAGTACCAAAAGAACAACAATAACAATAACAATAAAAAGATCATAAAAACGTGCAGGTGATCTAAAAAGAAATAATCATATGTAACACATGAATCTCAACTGGATCCTCATTCAAAAAATAAAAGCAAGAAGGGAAGGACGGAAGGGAGGAAGAGAAGATGAAGGAGGGAAGGAGAAGAAGGTATAAAATATACTTTCCAGCCCTCATGGTGGCACCTATCTGTAATCCTAGCAACTTGAGGAGGCTGGGACAGGAGGATTAAAAATTCAAGGCCGGCCTTAGCAACTTAGCAAAACCTGGTCTTAAAATTTAAAAATAAATAGAGTAAATAAAACTGGGAATATAGCTCATTGGTAAAGTACCCTCGGATTCAATCACCAATCCAAAAAGAAAAGGGAAAAAAAAACCTCTAAAACCATTCTAGTAGTAACTGGAGAAATTGGAATTTGAACTGGGTGTAAGATGACATCCACAAGTCATTGTTAATGTGAGGCGGAATAATAGCATCATGCTGTGCTTTTGTTCTAGGAGATGCGAGCTGATATATTTAGGGGCTCAGTGTGGAGCAGTCATCCCATCCACTCTGCAATAATTTAGCCAAAAAAATAAAATAAATAAATAAAGATGAAGCAGATATGGAAGAACGTCACCATTGAGCCTCAATGGTGGAAATACAAAAGTTCTTTGTACCATTCCTTCCTGTGCATCGTTTGAAATTTTCCAAACCAGATGTTGATTGGATAAAGCTTAACCTCTGCTCAGTTTTGGATTGAAACGTCCTCTCTCTCTCTCTCTCTCTCTCTCTCTCTCTCTCTCTCTCTCTCCCTCCTTTCTTGTTCCCCTGCCCCAGCCCCACGGCTTTAGTGCTCCCGAGGCCTTCTTCCTCCCACTGGGCTGAGCCCTTGGGGACAAGGACTTCAGCGTTTTTATCTCTGGGTCCCCATCCCATGACAGTTCCCCACACTAACAGCAAACACTAACCGCTCCTGCAGTTTTGTGTCTTGGCACCTAAGGGATCTAAACCCACTTGGCCCTCACAGTGGAGCCGGAGGCAGGGAGGGCAGCCTCGGGGTCTTAAGCCCAAACCCCGGAACCAGCCAGCTGAGGCAAACCCAGACTCCTCCACTTGCTACTGATGATCTTTGGGAAGTGTCTTACCTTCAGCACATGCCTCAGTTTCCCTTCCACAAAACAGACTCTGAGAGCCATGTTTTTGCTTATACTTTGGGTTTGTTGGGATGATCACATAAACACAGTTATTCTGGTGCTGCGCCTCAGACCTAGGCCTCATGCATGCTAGGCAAGCGCTGTACCACTGAGCAACACCCCAGTCTCGGGGAAAGCTCTTAAAATAGTGCCTGGCAGCCCAGTGAGGTGGCACACATCTGTCATCCCAGCGGCTGGGGAGGCTGAGACTGAAGGATTTGGAGTTCAAAGTCAGCCTCAGCAACGGCGAGATGCTCAGCAACTCAGTGAGACCCTGTCTCTAAATAAAATACAGAATAGGGCTGGGGATGGGGCTCAGTAGTCGAGTGCCCCTGAGTTCAATCCCCAGTACCCACCCCCAAAAAAGTGGCTGGCTTAGAGTCCATGTGATTTGTCTGAATAGGGCAGGATGCTGCAGACATCACACAGAAATAGCGCCCCGCGCCCCAGCAGCTAATCCCAAAGCCCTCGCTCTCTGACCACTCCTGTCTCCCCAGTGCTGGGGATCAAACCAAGGGCCCTGCAGGACCTGCAAGTGCTGTATCACTGGGCTACCCCACCCCACCCCAGCCTGGGGCCTACTCTGGGGCCAGAGGAACAAGGGCCTCTATTCCTGTCCTTTATGAGGTCGGGGCTTCCCAGGATGCCTCCCCTTCTCTTTCCTCCCTCACTTCCTTCCACCTTCCTCACAGCCTTCTCCTTCTGCTTTCTCCTCCTTCCCCCATTCCTCCCCCTCCTCACCCTTCCTGCTCTCACATGGCAGAGCATCTCCGTTTTTATCACCTTCCCTGGGACCAGTTTCTCCAGCTGTAAAAGGAGGAGTTGGAAGGTGCGAAGGTGAAGTTCCTGGATCTCTTATCTGCAAGGCCTGGGGCAGGTTCTCTGGGCCCCAGTGGACAT